TAACATTTATGACGATAATAACAATAACAATAATAATGATAATGATAATAAAATGATAGTAATGATAATAAGAGTAATGATGATAACAACATCAATAAGAATAGGAATAACAAAAAAAAAAAAAACTAATGCCAATGATACCAAAGAAACAAAAAAAAAACAAGAACAATATCAAAAACGAAAACAAAAAAAAAAAAAATCCGAGATTCACATCATGAATCCCAGTCACTCCGGTCAGTCTTTTTTTTTTTTTTTTTTTTTTTTTTTTTGCAATGGACTTCCTTCATCGGCTTCAATATGATCCTTAACTAGACGCGGAGGTGGCCAAGCAGGGCACTCGTCTGCACAAAGGACAGATCTCGAATAAAATCCCCAGCGCCATTGTCTTCTGCTCTCACTCTTCGCTAATTGGAAGGGTCAAAGGGCGCAGAGAAGAGTGGGAAGAGGGAAGAGGGAAAGAGAGAGGGAGGAGATGGAAGAAGGGGGGAAAGAGAGGAGGGAAAGAGTGGGAAGAGAAGGGCGGGAGGGTGAGAGGGGAGAAGAAAGAGAGAAAAGAAGTGGGAAGAGGGGAGAGGGAAAGAGAGAGGGAAAGAGAGAGGGAAGAGAAGGCGGGAGGGTGAGGGGGGAGAAAAGAGAGTGGGAAGAGGGGAGGAAAGAGAGTGGAAAGAGAAGGGGAGGAGGAGAGAGAGAAAAGAGTGTGGAAGAGGGGGGAGGGAGGAAGAAGAGGGAAAGAGAGAGGGAAGAGAAGGCAGGGTGGGAGGGGGGAGGGAGAGAAAAGGAGAGTGGGAAGAGGGGAGAGGAAGAGAGAGGAAGAGAGCGGGAGGGGTGGGAGGGGGAGAGAGAGAAAGGGAGTGGGAAGAGGGGAGGGAAAGAGAGTGGGGGAGAAGAGAAGGCTGGGGAGAGAGAGAAGAAAAGAGTGTGGGAAGAGGGAGAGGAGCAGAAGGGAAAGAGAGAGAGAGTGGGGAAATCAGGGAGGGATGAGAGGGGACTGAGGTAGAGGAGAGTGGGAAGAAGGGAGAGAAGAAAGAGGGAAAAAGAGTGGGGGAAGAAAGTGAGGGACGAGAGAGGAGAGAGAGAGAGGGAAAGGAAAGGAAGGACGGAAAAAGAGAGTGGGGAAGACAGGGAGGTATGAGAGAGAGGGAGAGTTAAAGAGAGAGAATGGCGAGGGAGGGGTGAGAGGAGAGAGAGGGAAAGAAAGAAAGAGAAAGTGGGGAAGGCAGGGAGGAATAAGAGGAGAGAGCGAGAGACATAAGAAATAAATAAAACAGGGCGCGAAAGATACGAGAAAGGGAGGAAAGGAGGACCGAAGAGAGAACAAGGCCCTTCAGAGAAGAGGAAGGGAGGACGAGAGTAAGGATACCTGTGGAATACAAAGGTTCCTCTATCCTCAAGGCTAAACTTAATTAAGCAAGTTTATTCGTTACGTTTACTGGAAATACACTCATGCAAGGGGCCCTAAGTTTCCCGCTTAGCTTACATACCTGGAACCTTAGGAGACCAAGTCCGTCTAGTATTTGCGCTGCTGCCAGCTCGTGGCGTTTACTAGGCTAACGTATCAGGAGGATTGGGGGAAGAAGGCCGAAAAGGAGAAGTAGTAGTAGACGAAGAAGGAAGATGAAGAAAAAAAAGGAAAAGAAAATATAAGGACGAGGAGACGGGAGGAGGTGAAGAAGAGAAAGGAGGATAGATATAAGGAAAAGGAGAGGAGAAATAAAAAGGGAAGGAGGAGGAATTTACACATAAAAAGATACAGTAAAGTAAAGTAGGAGAAGAAGGAAAAAGAAAATAGCAATGAAGAAAGGAAAATGGAGAAGGGGAAAAAAGATTCTCATGATTATGTTGATGATGATGATGTTCGGCGAAAACTATGATGATATATATAGTAAAGATGATAATTAAGAAGAAGAAAGGATAACAAACTGAGAAGAAGAGAAAAGAAGAAACCAAGAGGAAGGGAGAAGGAGAAAGGGAAGCAACTCGCCGATGAAAAATAAGGTCAGAGGAGAAGTGAGGAATGCATGGCCCCGTTAGGAGGTATGGAGTAAAGGAAGGCAAGCGGGAGAAAGAGAACCGTAGCTGGGTTGGTTTAGGGCAATGAGCATTTGATGTGGGGCGGGGGAGGAAGGTGTGGCTTGTGTGTGTTGTCGTGCTGTGTGTGTGTGTGTGTGTGGTGTCTGTGTGTGGGTGTGTGTGTGTGTTTGTGGGTGAGTGTGTGTGTGTGTGTGTGTGTGTGTGTGTGTGTGTGTGTGTGTGTGCGCGTGTGTGTGATGTTGTTGTGGCTGTGTGTCTGCTGTGTGATGTGTGTTTGGTGTGTGGTGTGTGTGTGTTTGTGGAGTGTGTGTATGTGTTGTAGTGTTGTGTGCCAGGTGACGTGCGTGTGCGTGTGTGTGTGTGCGAGTGGTGTGTGGTGTGTAGTAAGGGTGTGAGGTGTGAGTGTGTAATGATATGGCTAGAGGATAAGGTTGTTCCGGGTTGGGGTGATGTGTGTGTGTGGCTGTGGTCCGGCGTGCGTGTGTTCCCGATGTGCTTGTGCGTGCGTGTGAGGAGATGTGTGTAGTGGGAGCCAGCTGTGTGAGTCGCAATATGCGCTAGTAAGTGTGTCGTGTGTGTGTGTGTGTGTTCGTGCGTGCGTGTGTGTGTGTTCGTGCGAGTGCGTTTATGTGTGTGTGTGTGAGTGCATTGCGTGCGTGCGTGTGTGCATTGCGGCGTGGCGTGTGTGTGTGTGTGTGTGTGCTTGCGTGCGTGTGAGTGCATGCGTGCGTGTGTTGTGTGTGTGTGTGTTGTGTTGTGCGTTGCGTGCGTGTGTGCGTGGCGTGTGTGCGTGTGTGCGTGCGTGCGTGTGTGTGTGTGTGTGCGTATGTGAGTGAGTGAGTGAGTGCAGGTGTACAGCCTGAATGTAGGTGTATCCATAAACAAGAAGTACAGGTGTGCAATACCTCCCCGCGAGACGATCGCCCACACGGGCGCGCATAAAACACATCGAGAACCTCATAAAACTGGAACTAATTCGTAAAAAATGAGGCGAGTAAATCACTAATAACACGTCATTTTTCCGTCAAACTTCTACTACCGAGGATAACAATAGCATAATGCCCTTGATAAAAGAGAGGAAGAGCAAAAAAGGAGAAAGGGAAGCAGGGAGGGAAGCGGAACAGCGGAGAGCAGCCAAGTCGCCTTCTCTATGAAAGGTCAAGCAGTTATCGTTACTGACAGGTTCGTTATCATCATTATCAGTATCACTATCATTATCACTATTATTACTCTCATTATTGTTATCATCATCATTACCATTATTGTTGTTGCTATTATCATTATTTTTATCATTATTGTTATCATAATTATCATTACTATCATTATTATTATTATTATACATTATTATATTATAAATTACTTTTATTATTGTTGTTTGAATTATTATAATTACTTTTATTATTGTTGTTTGAATTATTATAATTACCTTTATTATTGTTGTTTGAATTATTAGAATTACTTTTATTATTGTTGTTTGAATTATTATAATTATTTTTATTATTGTTGTTTGAATTATTATAATTACTTTTATTATTGTTGTTTTAATTATTATAATTACTTTTATTATTGTTGTTCTAATTATTATAATTACTTTTATTATTGTTGTTTTATTATATAATCATTTTATTATTGTTTTAAATTATTACTTTTTATTGTTGTTTAACTTCTGTGAAAAAGGCGAGGCTGGAAAGGCAGCCTCTGGAACTCCGGTAAGCACCGCGCTCTCTCACTCTCTATCTATCTACCTCCCTTTCTCTCTTTCTATCTATCTCTCCCCCCCCCCCTTGCCTACATCACGTCAAGAAACATACGCCTCGAGCTGCACCAAAACCCAAGATTTCGCTTTTCCGAAAATTACCAACCATATAAGGAATCGGCGCAATCAATGTGCATCCCAGTGATTTTTTTTTTTTTTTTTTTTTTTTTTTTTTTTTTTTTTTGCATGGAAATATCAACGCTTCCGTGACCCCCCCCCTCCCCCGCCCCCCCCTCCGACCCCGCCTCTATTTACGCATGTGCACCATATTCCCGTTACGTCATTAAGAACGCTTAAGGCTTCGTCACTGATACGTCACCCGCTGCCCACCTGCCCCTGCAGCTTCCCGCTTCCGCGTTGGGTAGTTAGCAAAAATGGATGTAGAAGGCATAAACCTTTCATTGGACACTCAAGGAAAATCTTCCCGAGGTTCCCTTCATGTTTTCCTTGGCCAAGACTTTACAAAAAAATAAATGATCTTTCTACGGAGGTTATGGAATGAAAGAGAATCTTAGAAAACAGTCAGCGGGAAACTGACGAGGTGGAGGCCGAACGCGGGCTGCGGGAGCCGCGAGTGTGACGCCGCGACATCGGCGGCCTCCGAACTCCTGCCGAGGATCTGCAAGGCGGCGCCGACGGTCGAGACGACGGCAGCAGGAGGAGCAATCTGCGCACTGACGGGTTGGAGGAGACGCACGGGGAGACCGGGGAGCAATCCATCAAGGTGCAGGCTTTCCTGAACGAGCAACTGAACTTGGAGGACGTGCCCCTAGACCACGTCCATCGCGTCGGACAGCCCCGTGACCGCCGCCTTCGGATGATCCTGGCGCGGTTCTCTCGTCCGGCGGACAGGGATGCTGCGACGCGCAACGCCCGGAAGCTGCGGGGATCTGTCTTCATTTGCGAGGACCTGCGCCCGGAGTCCCAACGCCTGAAGAAAGAGAGGTACGACGACACAGGCCAAATCCGAAGGAAAAATTTTCCTATTGTCCTCTCGAAACTTCCCATCCGCGATCGTCAGCCAAGCCATGAAGAGCCTCCTCTCCGCCCTCTACTCCCTCCCCAACCCTCCCCCGCAGTCACTCGTGGCCCAACACCACCACCAGCCTACCAGGCTTCTACCATCCCAGCGGCCACCATCAGCGGTGCATCCCGTCCTCCGCAGGCACGCCGCTGCAAGCCAACCCTGGACTACAATCAACCACGACAATGACGCCGCGCTGCCCCGAGAATCTTCCACCAACGCATCCCCAACTTGAATGATAAAAGGAAATTGCGTAAGTGCAGTGAGTGCAAAAGAGCAGAGCAATGTTAATAAGTGCGTACATATGAGTTAAGTTTTTCCTTGCAACGGACTAAGTAATAATGAAAGTACCAATCTATATGCGTATGAGACCTGAGAAGACATTGACTGATATTGAAAATTAAATTCCCTGTCATTTCGGCAATACGATTTAGATATCGAATGTAAATATGATGAGGACGACCCCAATAGATGTATTGCAGCAAACTTGCAGATCCCAAATCTAATATGCAACTACATCCTTCCCGATGAACCTAACACAGTATTAACGGACTTTCGAAATTCCAGTCTTTTTAAATACGAACATTTTTAATTTAAATACTAACATTTAATACTAATTAACTTCTAATTAATTTAATTTTTAAATACTTTAACTTAAATACTAACATTAATTAATTTAATTCTTAAATACTAACATTTAATTAATTTAATTCTTAAATACTAACATTTAATTAATTTAATTCTTAAATAGAAAGTTCTCTTAAATACTAACATTTACTTAAATTTTTAAATAATTTAATTCTTAATTACAAAGTTTTTGGAGAAAAAAGAGAAAATGATACTGAATCTGTGTTCATTATACCGGATTATTATTTAATCACAAATTATTCATGTAGGTCCAGTGGAGGATGAAGCCCTTATATACACTATAACACCAAATTATGCATAATCTAATAGCCTATAATGAAGTCAATGAAACTTTGTCGGTTGAGACAGCTTCATATATCGACCACAAACACACCATAAAAAGGGTCGGCTGCAAACGACCTGAGTCTAGTTTTTATGAATTGAAATCGACTTCAACAAACATGCTTAGTACTCTTGAAAATAACATTTCCCATCGCTATATAATGGGGGACTGATTCAGATTTACTGCAAGCAAGCACTCAAGCTATTGTAATGGATACAATCAGCGCATTTAAGAGTCACTATTATCACTGCACAATCTCACGCCCAACACGTGTTACGCAAAGCTCTGCAACTTAATTAGATCATATATGGAGAAACAACATGACCAACAACTTGTGCCATGGTTGTTCACTCACATCTGTGTATACTTTTTCGTGCAGAAACAACACATAATAAAAAAATAATAATAAAATAAATATAATAAATAAATAAAATCAGACAATCAAATAATATGTAAAATTTAAACCGTTTTAAAACTGAAATTGAGAATAATAACTGATAACACGTATACGATCCACGAGATGTAAACGACGCCCTTGGAATATTTCAAAGACATTTTTTAAAAACGTGAAAATAATTTTCCGTCTATTACAAAAAAGGATAAGAAATGCACGATTCTCCAAGCCTTATATTACGAATACAAAATCTTATAAAGGAACGAAATAAACAATAACACACGATAAGCAGAAAACTTCGCAACAAAATTAACCCAATAATCCAAAGAAAAAAGAAAGAAAATATTTTAAGACAAAATTTAAAGAATCAAAGTCTGACGTCATAAAATCAGGGTCGGTTTTTAAGACAAAATTTAAAGAATCAGTGACGTCATAAAAATCAGGGTCGGTAAAGAACGAAGTCCTCAACAGGAAGACCCAGGTTGCCAATTGCCTTGCCTCAGCATCTCCTTCCTGGTCAACTCAACGAACACTTTACCAACGTTAGAGCTTCACTTTCTGTGCTGTGCTGGCGCGGCGGTTAAGGTGCTGGTCTAGCAATCTTGCGGACCTGCGTTCAATACGCCCGGCCAGTGAGTGGTATCCCCGCCCACTCTTGCACACAGGGGGAGATTATTAAAATAAAACAGACAGTACGTCACAGCAAAGAATATCCATTGTAACATGGAATTAAAATAAAAAAAAAAGAAAAAAAAAAATCTTCTGGGGAATGACCGCACCGGAAACCTTATTCTCGTCCTACCTTCCCGCGCGCTTTTAGGAATCGTCTAGGATTTAGATTTAAGATTTAGGATTACTGAGGTACAAGATATAATTATTTCTCTCAGTGACAATGCTCCGGGCCATGATGAATTACCCTTAAAATAATTAAAGCTACTTCTGATACCCTTTCACCAATAATTACGTCACTCTGTAACAGATCACTGACATTTGGAATATTCCCTGACCTCCTCAAAATCGCTGTCGTGAGACCAATTTATAAATCCAGAGATGATGCAGACCTGAATAACTCGATTAATATCAGTCTTAAATTTCTGAAGCAATATCTTATTAAGTTGCCGACATGGAACATTTAAACAAACATTATATTCCTTCTACATGCCAGTATCGATTCCACCCTTTACAGATCCACAGAATCTGCCTTGCAAAATTTGGTGGATTCCGTGTTAACAGATTTTGACGAAAACAAATCTGCGTGTTTTCGGACCTAAGCAAGGCGTTCGACCCGGTGGACTTACGAATTCTTTTAAAAAGTGGATCATTACGGGGTCCGTTACATCACTAATTGTCTGCAGAGTGTAAAATTGAATTAAAAACTTCATTCCAACGTCAAACCTTATGCGGTGTTCCGCAAGGTTCAATTCTAGGTCCATTACTTTTTATATTGTTTATTAATGATATTATCAATTCCACGCAAAAACTTTCTCTTGTATGTCGACGACTCCAGCCTATTTGCCAGCTATCATGCTCTGTCAACTCTCCTTAATGTATTGAACAGTGAACTTGCACAGGTATCATGCTGGTTTGCTAGTAACTCACTTTAAACAAAAGAAAGATTATATACATGACTCTACATAGAACGAATAATACATCTATTACCGCCAATATCTATCAAGGAATGTATACTAGAGGAAGTAGCAAAATTCAAATTCTTAGGTGTAATTTTTCCAAAAACATATTAAGCATTTGAAATGTAAATTATCTAAAGTATGTGGTGCTTTTATATTTGTCAAAGCCTCCTTTAACCAAAGCATCGATGATATTGATCTATTTCGCACTACAATACGTCAGAGGGAGCACACCAATGGATCCTTCTGCAAATATAATCTACTAAAACTGCGTATCACTATATTCACACTTTCGAATTTCATTTTCAAATATCTGAAAAGATTAGCCATAAACATTTTTTTTTCCTTTACGCAAGGAATAGAAGACACCCGACAAGGAACCACAATGTCCTCTTCTCAGGCACAGACTAATGTAAAGTTCCCTGCACCAAAGATTTATAATGATTTGCCAAATGATGCAAAAAGTAAGATTACATTATACAGTATTAAACATATATTAAAGCAACTCTTAGTTGACAAATAAAACGTTAATTTCTACCTTTTATTACAAAGCGAGACATCAGAAGATGATAGAATGTGTTTGATAACCTTTTTTCAATCAAATTAGTTGACATTTTGTAAACATAATATTTTACAACCTTACTAATGTCTCAAAAGAATGATACATAATCGTTAAAAGGCCTTGCCTATATATATATATATATATATATATATATATATATATATATATATATATATATTATATATATATATATGTGTGTGTGTGTGTGTGTGTGTGTGTGTGTGTGTGTGTGTGTGTGTGTGTGTGTGTGTGAGTGTGAGTGTGAGTGTGAGTGTGAGTGTGAGTGTGAGTGTGCGTGTGTGTGAGTGTGTGTGTGTGTGTAATCCTCTCTTTTTCTCTGTGTCTGTCTGTCTCTCTATCTCTCTCATTTAACTCTCTCTTTTTCCACCTTCCTATACCTCCACCCCCACCCCCTGCTCTCCACCCCGTTCACTCCTCCCCCGTTAATTCCTCCCCACCGCTTCCTTTCTTCCTCCCCTCCTCACCCACCCACCACCCCGTTTCCTCTCTTCCTCCCCTCCCTTCTCCCCTGCCCCCCCCCCCGCTTCCACCCCGTTAACTCCTCCCACCGCTTCCTTTCTTCCTCCACCCCTCCTCACCACCACCCACCCCCCGCTCACCCACGCCCTTCCTTCTTCCTCCCCCTCCTTCCCCCCCCTGCCCCCGCTTCCACCCCCGTTAACTCCTCCCCCACCGCTTCCTTTTTCCCCCCTCCCCACCACCCACACCCACGCCCGCTTCCTTTCTTCCTCTCCCCCCCACCCACCCCCACCCCGCTCCTCCCCACCCTTTCTTCTCCACCCCCTCCTCACCCACCCACCACCCCCGCACACCCACGCCCGCTTCCTCGGCCTCTCCCTCACCCGGCCGCCGACGCCATTCACTGGTGAGCACCTGTCATCAGCACACAGGCGGGGCGGTGCTCGGGGTCGCGCACCCGGGACAAAGGGCCGGCCTGGAGGGGGGGGGGGGAGGGAGGCGGGAGGGAGCGAAGGAGGGCATAGGAGTCAAACAGACGTAGAAGGAGAAGAAAGAAGAAGTAGAGCAAAAAGAGAACGAAGATTGGTGTTAAAAGAAGGATTTAGGAGTGAGACAGAAGGTGTATGACGAACGGAAGCAGAGGAGGTGTACGGGAGTGAAGCGGAATGGAAATGTAGGAGTGAGATGAAAGGAAAGTATAGGAGTGAAACAGACGTGGAATATAGAGCAAGGAAGGTGGATAAAGGGAGATCAAAGGCAGGTTGGGGAAGAAGCAAGGAAATGGAATGTCGTGGACGAAGGAGGGAAGATAAGAGGAAAAGAGAGGAAATGTGTCACGGGACGTTAATGGAAGGCCCGGATGATTTTGAAGGAAAAAAAGAGATAAAAAAAAAAGTGAAGGATATGGAAGTGCCTTAACAGAACACAAATGAAATCACAGAACAGCCGAAAGAAACTAATCAAGAAAGTAAAAGAAGAAAAGGGAAAAAAAAAGAATGTAGAAAGTAATCATCAAAAAAATATGAACAGAATAGGAAGACGAGGAATAAAGGTTGGAACTGATGGAGAGGAAAAAATGCGAGAGATTCCAAGGAGGTTGGGTTAAGGAGCGGGGGAGTGGGGGGTGGAGGGGGGGTGAATTGGAAGGGGAGGGGA